TAAGTGTTAACGCCGCTTTCAACAGGGTTTCAGGTATATAAATGTGTGTCAGGTCGATGTGGGAGGAAGGCAATAAGTGTTAACGCCGCTTTCAACAGGGTTTCAGGTATATAAATGTGTGTCAGGTCGATGTGGGAGGAAGGCATGAAGTGTTAACGCCGCTTTCAACAGGGTTTCAGGTATATAAATGTGTGTCAGGTCGATGTGGGAGGAAGGCATATATGAAGTGTTAACGCCGCTTTCAACAGGGTTTCAGGTATATAAATGTGTGTCAGGTCGATGTGGGAGGAAGGCATATATGAAGTGTTAACGCCGCTTTCAACAGGGTTTCAGGTATATAAATGTGTGTCAGGTCGATGTGGGAGGAAGGCAATAAGTGTTAACGCCGCTTTCAACAGGGTTTCAGGTATATAAATGTGTGTCAGGTCGATGTGGGAGGAAGGCATGAAGTGTTAACGCCGCTTTCAACAGGGTTTCAGGTATATAAATGTGTGTCAGGTCGATGTGGGAGGATGGCATGAAGTGTTAACGCCGCTTTCAACAGGGTTTCAGGTATATAAATGTGTGTCAGGTCGATGTGGGAGGAAGGCATGAAGTGTTAACGCCGCTTTCAACAGGGTTTCAGGTATATAAATGTGTGTCAGGTCGATGTGGGAGGAAGGCATATATGAAGTGTTAACGCCGCTTTCAACAGGGTTTCAGGTATATAAATGTGTGTCAGGTCGATGTGGGAGGAAGGCATATATGAAGTGTTAACGCCGCTTTCAACAGGGTTTCAGGTATATAAATGTGTGTCAGGTCGATGTGGGAGGAAGGCATATATGAAGTGTTAACGCCGCTTTCAACAGGGTTTCAGGTATATAAATGTGTGTCAGGTCGATGTGGGAGGAAGGCAATAAGTGTTAACGCCGCTTTCAACAGGGTTTCAGGTATATAAATGTGTGTCAGGTCGATGTGGGAGGAAGGCATGAAGTGTTAACGCCGCTTTCAACAGGGTTTCAGGTATATAAATGTGTGTCAGGTCGATGTGGGAGGAAGGCATATATGAAGTGTTAACGCCGCTTTCAACAGGGTTTCAGGTATATAAATGTGTGTCAGGTCGATGTGGGAGGAAGGCATATATGAAGTGTTAACGCCGCTTTCAACAGGGTTTCAGGTATATAAATGTGTGTCAGGTCGATGTGGGAGGAAGGCATATATGAAGTGTTAACGCCGCTTTCAACAGGGTTTCAGGTATATAAATGTGTGTCAGGTCGATGTGGGAGGAAGGCATATATGAAGTGTTAACGCCGCTTTCAACAGGGTTTCAGGTATATAAATGTGTGTCAGGTCGATGTGGGAGGAAGGCATATATGAAGTGTTAACGCCGCTTTCAACAGGGTTTCAGGTATATAAATGTGTGTCAGGTCGATGTGGGAGGAAGGCATATATGAAGTGTTAACGCCGCTTTCAACAGGGTTTCAGGTATATAAATGTGTGTCAGGTCGATGTGGGAGGAAGGCATATATGAAGTGTTAACGCCGCTTTCAACAGGGTTTCAGGTATATAAATGTGTGTCAGGTCGATGTGGGAGGAAGGCATATATGAAGTGTTAACGCCGCTTTCAACAGGGTTTCAGGTATATAAATGTGTGTCAGGTCGATGTGGGAGGAAGGCATATATGAAGTGTTAACGCCGCTTTCAACAGGGTTTCAGGTATATAAATGTGTGTCAGGTCGATGTGGGAGGAAGGCATATATGAAGTGTTAACGCCGCTTTCAACAGGGTTTCAGGTATATAAATGTGTGTCAGGTCGATGTGGGAGGAAGGCATATATGAAGTGTTAACGCCGCTTTCAACAGGGTTTCAGGTATATAAATGTGTGTCAGGTCGATGTGGGAGGAAGGCATATATGAAGTGTTAACGCCGCTTTCAACAGGGTTTCAGGTATATAAATGTGTGTCAGGTCGATGTGGGAGGAAGGCATGAAGTGTTAACGCCGCTTTCAACAGGGTTTCAGGTATATAAATGTATGTCAGGTCGATGTGGGAGGAAGGCATATATGAAGTGTTAACGCCGCTTTCAACAGGGTTTCAGGTATATAAATGTGTGTCAGGTCGATGTGGGAGGAAGGCATGAAGTGAAGCCATGTTTAGATGTTTCCCTTTTTGAAGACGTCCTTGAGCACGGACATAGTTGTGATATATATTGAAAAATAATGAGGGCGAATCCGGGGGTGAAATGGGGTTTTAACGTCGCGTTCAAAATGCTTACACTTAAACAACGACTTGCATCTGGATGTACGTCTCTGTCTGTGTCTGTGTGTGTTTGTGCTCGTCCGGACTAATACCGGTTTTATAGTGAGACTGAGATACCATGCCGCAGTTTAACTACTACTACTACTACTACTACTACTACTACCACTAGTACTACTACTACTACTACTACTACCACTACTACTACCACTACAACTACTACTACTACTACTACTACTACTACTACCACTACTACTCTACTACTCTACTACTACTACTACTACCACTACTACTACCACTACTACTACTACTCTACTACTACTACTACTACTACTACTACTACCACTACTACCACTACTACTCTACTACTCTACTACTACTACTACTACTACCACTACTACCACTACTACTCTACTACTCTACTACTACTACCCCTACTACTACTACTACTACTCTACTACCACTACTACTACTACAACCACTACTACTACTACTACTCTACTACTACTACTAATACTACTACACTTCTATTACTACTACCACAACTACTACTACTACTACTACTACTACTATTAGTACTATTAGTACTACTACTGCTACTACGAAGAGGAAGAAGGAGAAGAAGAAGACACCCATGAAGATCCGGGGTAGAATAGGTCTTCAGCAACCCAGGTTTGCCGTAAAAGGCGACTAACGGGATTGGTAGGTCAGGCTCGCTGACTTGGTTGATGCATGTCATCGTATCCCATTTGCGTGATGTCAATCACTGGGTTGTTCTGATATTTACAGAACGCCGTCATGCACTGGAATATTGTTTAGTGCGACTTTAAACAACAAACAAACAAACAAACAAACAAACAAACAAACGAAGAAGAAGAAGAAGAGGTTCTGATTTCTTGGGACTGTGACAAGGACTTGGTCTTGTGATCAGACCGTTGTGATGAGGAGTGTAGGGAGAGATGGTTGTGAAGATGTTGGAAGACAATACACAGAAGCTTCAAATGAAAAGGGAATTTAACTGAAAGAAACTGAGTACCGGAGTGATATGGTTTGTGGCTTAATGCCACGCGCCATGCAGGGTAACAACAAGTACCATCTTCTGATGTCTTTTGGTATGACGCGGCCGGAGATCGAATCCCCGACCTTCCGCTCTCCGGGAAGATGCTCAGACTCAGGACCACGGAGGCGGTATCAGGACGAATCTGTTTGTTCATAAACGTTTACTGAAATGGTCTATTGAATAATTTAATGACAAATCCAGACACAAAGAAACAGCTGCGTCTTCAGTGTAACATTGAATCAATTAACGCCGCTTCGACAGCGCTTTAGTCACATTACGAGTGTGAGGGGCGGTCGGGTAGACTGGTTGTTAAAGAGTTCGCTCGTCACGCCGAAGACCCGGGTTCGATACCCGACATGTGTGAAACCCATTTCTGGTGTCCCCCGCCTTCATATTGCCGGAATATTGCTAAAAGCGTCGTAAAAGCATACTCACTCACTCACTTACAATACGTGTGTCACCCAAATGGGATAGGAACACGCAACGTGACACACATCATGCACATTCACTATGGTGCAGTGTCAAGCAATCAAGCATTTTGTACCTAACTTATCGGATCCTGGCATGATTAAGGGGCGCAACTCTACGAATGTACCGCCTCAATCCACTGGGCCAACCATGCTAACATCGAGTTCCTCTTAATAACTGTACAGATGTACAATGTATAACATCTTCTGTCCAAATATTCAACTCAAACGAAGCTACAAATCCATGGATTGCCATGTTTCAATGATCCTGAGTTCGGATCCAAGAAGTCGCACGTCCTAACTCCAATACTGATCAAATCGGTTTTAAACCCTAGCCCAAATCGCTCAATCCTTTTTTAACCAGTAATATGAATTACGTCCGTTTAATGCCAAAGTTGATATGTCTTCTTTGACGTTATTACCATTTATCGATCATAAATAACGCGAAATGTCAAACAATGAGATTATCGTTCACTTGGCAGCATATCAGAAAAACGTGAATGATTATGATCGATATAAATTGTGAAATATTAAAGTGGAGAAGACGTATTACCCTTGTCGGTATTAGGTCTCGAAGATGAAGAAACAAAACTGATTGAAAGCGATGAATCAGCGGCGACGACAGACGTCCGTGGGAATTACACGAAACAACTGAGAAGAAACAATACTCCACAAACGTTGAAAGCTTAGGGTATCTACATGTACATCAAGCACTATTGTGGGCTGTTTGTATGAATACGTTTTAATCACGCCGGATCGTATTCTATCATGTGAAAACAGATCGTTTTGCTCTTAGACTCTATGTTCAGAGGGGTGTTTGGTCGATTTTGTTTGTGGTTATTCTTCCAAGTAAATATAAAACGCCAACACTAGAGGATAACCAGACACGATTTGCAGACAAACAGATTCAATTGTGGGCAAAATAGTCGATGATCACTAAATGGATCTCTAAAAATCAGTCAAGGGACCCAGCACCCAATTCACTTCACGACCAATGTGAGATTTATTCCAGCACAAACAATATATTTCCCTTCACATTTAAAACTTTCCTGAAAAACAGTCATATTTATGTAGATATCCTTCGTGCAATGTATTCTTGAGTTCAAAAACAAGATCTAAATACCTTTTTTTCGATGTATCTTGCTGATCAATGTCAAACTTACATAAAAATGACAAAATATATTTCAGAAAGGATTTTTTGTCACCCAATTACTTATTATGGTTCTTTTATTTTTTCAGTGCACTTTTCTCATTAATCGGCATCGCTGCGTCAATACGTTGGGCAACGTCTTCCACACAACCTCCGCAACTCAACGACATCCCAAACAACGGATGCAGTTCTTCAACAACTGATGGTTGCCCATGGCAACACGTGATATCAGACTTAGCCAATCGTCTGCAATTACTAGAGATGGCATTCAAAGAACAGGTGGTTGCCAGGGAAACAATAATAAAAGAAGTCAGTAACCAAACAGATGTGAATTCTTCGCTGGAAAAAAAATTAACAATATTTCTTCAGCGGTTGTCTCAACTTGACTCACATATACATAGTCTAGAGGTCAGGCTTGAAGAGTTGACAAACAGATTACACTCAGATGGTAGGCAAGTTTAATTTCTTTGTTGTCATAGCAACAGACTCATTTAACTTTGACTTGAAATGGTAACCCCGTTGTTATGTATATTTACAGTGAAACCTGACACGTCATTCGTTTTATTGCACAGGTTTTTTTTTGTCTGTCTCGACACACCATTGACTTTTAGAACATCCCGTTTTATTTGTTTTATTGCTGACGTTTAGACTTAATCGTTGACATAACAACTTACAGATATCAAATCTCTAACAAATGGCATTGTTCTTTGCAAGCGTAAGGTTACTAAGAACAATTTGAAGTTGAAGGCACAAATTGATTACATGGCGTCATCTGAACAATGGGCTGGCTTCAGTGAAGTTTGTCTCTAGGGCTGGCATTTCTTGTTTCCTTTATTGTCTTTCCTTTGAGTAATATTAGAATGACACACTTGAAACTAGAACATACGGATTATCTGTCTCGTGAATGTATGCTGCAAGTTCCACGCCAAAGGTCTGTTCTCGGTATTAAAGTTGGCTTTGTCTCCAACAGTGATGCCTGCCACCGCTGAAGAGATCACAATGAGACCCCTGGGGTGTCACGTGGGCAGTCACATGCCCACACACTCAGCACAGGCATAGTGATGACATAACTGTATCCTATTTGGGATTCATCCTGTGCTGAACCGTTTTTCTTATGTGAGAGAGTTAGTATGGTCTTCCGCCGCTTTTCCCTCAATAAATAAAACCGACAAAATGAATCACTATCAAATAGTGATGTTGCCAGGTGTTTGCGAACAGTTGAGTATCCTGCCCCAACGGTGGCACCCGTCACAAACACATGCAAAGGCATGCCAATTTCACCTGAAAAAACACGGAAACATATGGTTCAAGGCAAAATAGGGAATTGCATCGGAAATCATTTTTGTCACCGACGCGTCAAATATGGAAATGTCCTCCTACCAAACAAAACGTTTGGAAAGCTTTACTGAGGCGTTGAATCTTGTAACCTTGATCAAACAACTTTGAAATTTTCGTAGAAAGAGCAAGCCCGATTGTATCTCAAATTGTAGACACAAAGACTGGAGCTGCAGGATTATTGCTTGACATAAAGGGAAAGTTGAGTATTGGAAAGTTGAGAGTTTTTTGAAACTCTGAATCTTTATCCATAGATATATAAAAAATATATAAAACAGTCTCCTCGTCTCCTTTATATCTAGATCAGGTGGGTGAATCAGTGGAAGGCGACTGGCTACTTGATTTTTTTTATAACGTCATCATACCATCGATATAACTGAAGTTTAAGATAAACGTCTTGGCCAAATTCCCTTGTTTTGACTTTGCCAATCCGAACAGAAATTCTATTCATATGAAGAAAGAAGCAGATCACCAAGGAGAGGAGAACAATTTGTGCCCATGGGGGAGCCTACTTCATTCTTAAATGTCTTATCCCCGGGGGGCACCATATACCCGGGAGTTCGGCGTGACGACTTGCAAATGCTTTACAAACGGGGCTACCTATACCCCAACGTCCCTATGCCACTGTAAACTGGTTCTGCCACTGTTTAACTGTTGCTGACACTGTTAAACTCAGGTTGACACTGTTTAACGCGTGCTGTCACTGTTAAACTGGTTCTGCCACTGTTTAACTGGTGCTGTCACTGTTAAATTCGTGCTGTCACTGATAAACTGGTGTTGTCGCTGTTAAACTGGCGCTGTCACTGTTAAACTGGTGCTGACACTGTTAAACTGGTGCTGACACTGTTAAACTGGCGCTGTCACTGTTAAACTGGTTCTGCCACTGTTTAACTGTTGCTGACACTGTTAAACTGGTGCTGACACTGTTAAACTGGTGTTGACACTGTTAAACTGGTGCTGTCACCATTAAACTGGCGCCGTCACTGTTAAAGTGGTGCTGACACTGTTACACTCGTGCTGACACTGTTCAAAAGCGTGCTGACGCTGTTAAACTGGTGCTGTCACTGTTAAACTGGTGCTGACACTGTTAAACTGGTGCTGACACTGTTAAACAGGTGCTGTCACTGTAAAACTAGTGCTGTCACTGTTAAACTGGTGCTGTCACAGTTAAACTGGTGCTGTCACTGTTAAACTGGTGCTGACACTGTTAAACTGGTGCTGTCACTGTAAAACTAGTGCTGTCACTGTTAAACTGGTGCTGTCACAGTTACACTGGTGCTGTCACTGTTTAACTGGTGCTGACACTGTTAAACTGGCGCTGTCACTGTTAAACTGGTTCTGCCACTGTTTAACTGTTGCTGACACTGTTAAACTGGTACTGACACTGTTAAATGCGTGCTGTCACTGTTAAACTGGTGCTGACACTGTTAAACTGGCGCCGTCACTGTTAAACTGGTGCTGACACTGTTAAACTGGTGCTGACACTGTTACACTCGTGCTGACACTGTTCAAAAGCGTGCTGACACTGTTAAACTGGTGCTGTCACTGTTAAACTGGCGCTGTCACTGTTAAACTGGTGCTGTCGCTGTTAAACTGGTGCTGTCACAGTTAAACTGGTGCTGTCACTGTTAAACGCGTGCTGTCACTGTTAAACTGGTGCTGTCGCTGTAAAACTGGCGCTGTCGCTGTTAAACTGGTGGTGTCACTGTTAAACTGGTGCTGTCACAGTTAAACTGGTTCTCTGTGTGAACCACAATGGTTTTACGTGTATTTGTCCAATAATCTTTACAATCTTTGACTTTGTCCACTTTTCTTCTCCACACAGAGTCGCTTGGATTCTTAGTCATAGTGATGATAATTGTTGAAGTGATGCTTCGACTTCATCCAAAGGTTCAGAAGCTGAATCCTTTCCGAAGATTTTCTAGAGATGGGAAAGACTGCAATCAGAAAGCCGAGAAAGATTCTTCGTCCGTTTCCAAGGTAACGGTTGCCATCATTTCATTGTGAAAATAGTTATCCTTTATATATCTCTGTCTCTCTCTCTCTCACCTTGCATGTGAGTGCACAATTCTTTCTTATGGCTTGACTTTCTTTGCTTGACTTTTTTTTATTGATATCAATACGGAATGCACAATAGTTTAGAAGCAATACCATTTGCAATTTAAATGTTTTTATCAGTATGTTTCAGACAATGCCAGTCCCTTAACGCCGTCAATTCAGATTTCCCAATATTCCAATTTGGTTTCTTCAAAGCCGAAAGGAGTATTATGTACCTTTCTATTGATCCGATCATAAACGACTTCCCTTTAGCATGTTTTGCAATTATACAAACCGCATTTGAACTGATTGTGGTTATAAACGACCTGAAGTCTTTTCTTATCGATTCTGCAGCATAGACAAATTTAGACATCTTGAGGAAATGTATTTGAATTCATCAAAATGAAAAGATTGTTTTGGATGATGAGCTCTGGCTTGTGTCTTGCTAGGGGATGAAGCTGAGCCACACTTCTCTGTTTGCAGATGTCGTTGTATGTGTACAGCATGCTCAAGTGGACTCCGGTCAACCTATCTTTAAAACGATTCCCCCTACAGCGTGCTAAGTACAGGAAATCATCCCTTCAATCTACCAGTGCCTCCACCAATGGCGATCACTCCCCTAGGCACCGTGTTGCTGTAGGTTCTTTACTGTGCATCTTCGGCAGCTAAGGTGTATTTTCCGCTTTGTGTACACGGGGAGTTTATATGACCTCGCGGTTATGGCGTTTGCTCGTCACACGGAAGATTTGAATTTTGAGCATCAATTTTCCTGGGATTTTTATATAATTTTCGTATGGGAATTACACAACTTTGATCGCCGAAGATGCACGTTTTCTAGTTATTGATATCTTGTAGCATGCACCAAGGATTTAGCCGCTTCCTGTGATGCTTTCGTTTCATATTCTACTTACTTCTATGACATTCTTTCAAAATGGTAGATAGACTTTTCCTTAACTTTTCCTTAACAACCTTTAGTCTTTAACTTGCTCTCACGGTAATACAGCAATACACGGAAACGTTTCTATTCATATTAAACAAGAAGGATTTCAGCTTTCTTCATTTTGATTTGGTTGGTTCGTTGTTTAACGCCGCACTCAGCAATATTCCAGCTATATGACGGCGGTCTGTAAATAATCGAGTCTGGACCAGACAATCCAGTGATGGACATCATCAGCATCAATCCACGCAATTGGGATACGATGATATGCATCAACCAGGTCATTTTAGTAAGTCGATGACTCATACTATGAAAGTGATATGGTGGAACTCCATTAGACCTGGCATTATTTATCTTAGTAACTTCGGTATATGATTAAAATGACATGATTAAAATGACATGATTGATTGATTGATTGTTATTTTGACGCTATATTCTTCCTCATCGGTATTCATTTTTCCAGAACGGTGTAAACTTTTCTCCCAAGCACGGCGTGTCTCTGAAGAACGAGTTGTGTGTGGTGTTGTTCAAACGTGAAAACAATAACATCGTAGCGACGCTGATAGAAGCCATCTTGAAACAACTGGATGACGTCAGGTTATCGGTGAAACCTCACTACATGATAGAAGGGCCGGAACACCTCAAGTCTATACCCAGGGTCAAACTGTTTCTGGTCGTGTCTGAGATGGAAGACAAGGGAGGCCAGAGCTTCCTCCGAATGCAGGATAGCGACCTGCATACGTCAGCGGTTCGTTTCATGAAGTCGCTAGGAGGTACGTCAAATCTCATATATGCCCATATTTGGTCGACTTGAAATGTCACATGATCAAGAAAAGACTTTGTAAGATTAGTGTGCAATCTATAAGGCTTGTTAAATGGCTGACAGCGTGTCTCGGTCCTTCTCACATATGGATGTTTTGGTCACGTTCAAATGTTCAAACGAATTTCTCAAATCAGTCTTTTCGACATATGTAAGCCACTCCTATACATTTAGTGTCGTTAAAGGCGTGTTGGAATATCTCATTCATGTGAACATATTTCATAAAAACTTTAATTATGCAGATCCTGTGAGCTTAAGCGGGCGCTATGCATACCTTGCCCTTTACGTTAACAATGTGCAAATATTCATAGTGGAAAGAAAAACAAGCTATAATAACGGCACCCTATCGAAAATGACAATTTATTGAGTTACGTGAAGATGGCAATTATGGAACATATTCATATTACTGACAAGGGGGCATGTGTGTCTTTCTTACACGTGGGCGTTGTGCAGATTGGCCATGAATAAGTACAGAAGCATGACTTTGATGAGTGAAAAAGACTAAGCCTTCTTCTTTTTTTAAACCTTAATAGAAAATCTATGTATGAGCATGTAGTTACCGAAAATGAATATTAACTATTTATATATCCTTAATAACAACTAACATAAAAGATTTGTTCATATTTCAATACCAGAAACGCTTAATGAGAACCTTTCAGCCTTTCGACAGAGTTCTAATTCAACTTTACCTATCTGCTAACTTTCATAACGATATTTAGAAGTTTTGCTAATTTCTTTTAATCACGCAACCCAAGTGGGATAAAAGGGTTCCTGCCATGCCTCTTCTTTTGTATCTCAATGAGGATGCAGTAGTAATGATGGAGGGGTCCTCGGAGATGCCTCCAAGACCCATTTTCTTGAGATAATAGTAACATGTATCTATCTATGCGACGCTAACTGAACGCACAGAAGTCACCGATCATTCTTGATTCTTGGTGGGCCTTGTGTTTCTGGGAAAAAATAGAACGCCTCCGTAGTCTAGCGGTAGAGCGTCCGCCTGGAGTGCGAAAGGTCCGGGATTCGATCACCGATATTTGTTGTTACCCTGCCTGGCGCTTGGCAGGCGTTAAGAGTCTAATACAAGGACTGGTCGGCTCAGTATACTGTGTCTGAGTGGGGTATTCATGTTAAACATGGTATCTCAGTGGGCTAGCACTATAAAATCGGTATGGGTCTGGACACACAGACACAAACACACACAAACACACACACACACACACACACACACACACCGTCACACACACACACACACACACACACACACACACACACACACACACACACACACACACACACACACACACACACACACACACACACACACACACACACACACACCGTCACACACACGTGCATGCACGTTGCTATATAAGTGCAAAAGTCTTTGAAATAAAATGTCCCTGGTGGAAAAAACAAGCAAACACATCCTTTGTTCTCGTATAGCACCAAAAATAACTGGACGTACTGGTCTATACATAAAACATTGTGGGTAAAAATGTACTTGTATCCTCTTTTCTGAGACATTGTTTGTATGATTTGATATCGAAGACTCAACAAGAACTCTTCCAGGGTTCAGGTTAAGGTCTAACGATATCTAATCTTTGATCGCCAAAATAAAGATCTTTAATATCTGATCACAGAAATTACTCGACATGACAGTCTAGCTTCAAAAACAATTATTGACGTCATATGCAAAACATGTGTCCGCTTAAAAAGCCCTTTTTGGGGATGAAATGTTCATCAAATTATAACAAAATTAAATTTTAACGATCATAAACAATAACGTGTCTAACATCTGTTGTAAACCTGTTTTAGAGGCAGTGATTAATGATGGTTTACTTTTTTTATAAATCAATATCCTCTTGGAACTCTTTTTAGCTTCTAGATTCGCCTCTGTGGTCCAGAGGTAGAGCGTCTTCCCCATTCCACTACCTCACCTTGTACATTCATGAATTCGACATTTTCCAGTAAAGAAGATGAAGATGCATGAACGATGCCAGAGTCCTGTGATGTTCCAAATGGAGGGATTTTACTGACGCCTGGTGTTCAAAAGAAACCATGCTTGCTTCTCTTTCAGCACTGCCCCATCTAAAACGTATTCCTCGTCTGTTTGTAAACGTATCGCAAATGTCTTGGAATTATGCCAAATGTGAACAATCAAATAAAAAATTATTTGTTTTGTTTCAGCGCAAATAATTCTCATAATGGCAAACGACGAAGGTTCAAAGAAGCTGACGGCGCATAACATGTACAACACCAGTTTACGTCTCGTCCAATCACATGAGGTGTTACAAGAGTTGGCGTCTACCGGAAGAGTGTTTAGCATTTGGCGCGAGTTGACGTCACATCAACTTAGTCACCTCAGGAAAATCATACGTTCAGTATTAAATATAAAGACAAGCATACGGTGAGAGAAAATGGCCTAACTGGGCGTGTCCATAACCTGAACTGCATATCGAAGTCGTGGACGGAAGGTCGTCTCTACGATATAATGCCCATAGGGCAGTCTGGAGAGAAAATACTGTGCATCCGGTGTCGCCGGAAGTGAAGACGTTTGTGAGCTGCGACAGTTTACTATAGACATTGGGCCTGTTTCTCACTTACGATGGACTGCGACGGTTGGTCGATCCCTGAAATAAAATGTTATAGCTGGACGTTCATACTAGAGAAACATAGAATAAGCTGCATTTCTTGTCCATTGGAGGTTATTGTTAGGTATTGAGTACAAAGATGCATAAACAGATTGGTGATTTTTGTAGTAGCTTTCATGGAAAAACGTGATGCGTAACATGAGAAAAACATTCATACATTTCTGGGTCCCGTTCCAATAAGCGATCTTAGCGTTATGACTGTCATATGTTGGTGTGCTTAACGACTGTCGTGGAGTGATGTTAAAGCATTGGAAGAAAAGGGGAGGTCGGGTAGCCTAGTGGTTAAAGCGTTGCTCGTCACGCCGAAGACCCGGGTTCGATTCCCGACATGGGCCCATTTCTGGTGTCCCCCGCCGCGATATTGCTGGAATATTGCTTAAAGCGGCGTAAAAGCATACTTACTCACTCATTGGAAATAAAACGTCTTGTGGTGAGATCGCCTTGTTGGACGGGACCCCTGAACCATTTAGTAAGCATATATTTCCGTCTTACTACATCATGTCATCAATTCATCCCAAACGCTCAAGATATATTGTTTTCACAATGGAAGTCTTGCATCAGTCGCAATATGTGCATATGCAATCACTATCTTGATTAATTTACTCATATGTCAATTCCAAGTCAGCATTCTGTTTGTAGCTTTGTGGTTTTATTGGAATGATACAACATCCGATCGGTAATTCTGTTTGAACGTTAGATGTTGGTTATTGGTTTATCATCATAATTCTTGTCATTAAATTCAGAAAAAAGCTTTCATGTTTATTTTGAAACAAATATAACACTTAATCCTGAATAATTAGTTTTTACGGGACTCCAAACAGACCAAAGCCTCTTGTCCATTAACACAGGCAGAACCCATTGCATTTTCAGTGAGGTTGTGGAGTACTTTAGTGTCAACAGTACATTCATGTAGATGCTGTAAGTCAGGGCCCGGGCACGGGTGGCCCAGTCGTCTAAGGTGCCACAATTTGCTGTGCAGAGTTGCGTCCCTAAGGCACGCCAGAAACCCATGAACGGGCATTCGAATCCCAGATTCGCCCTGATTGTGGTTGTAGGTTTGTCAGCACCATACCCGTTATCGTGGGTTTCACCGAAGTGGTAAATTTCTCGGACCTGCCTGCACTTCGGGTTTTCCTCCCACCTGACACGCCGAGCTATATCTGAAAGTATTTCAAAGCAGCGTTATACCAAACTCACTCACTCATGATTCAAACGTCGGCTAAGACGAAGTTGGATATATAAAAAATGTTCTGAACGAAATCCGTTCTAATCCCATAGCAGTGGTAATAAATGTTCAAGAATAATTTTGTTCATGTACATTTGAGTTAACTTTGTCTCATAACCAATTTGTACCACTGAAAGATCCATCGTGATGCATAGAGAAAATGACAAGGGTTATCTAATGATGTATTTATCTACATACGAATATATTTGTACTATAACATGAAGACAACGCTATATTTGCCTGTGTCACACCTTGTACAAACTACAGTATGTATGCTCAACGTGTTCCTTTGTACCAGTTTATTTTACAGTGGATGTTTTGTTACGTATTATATTGTTGTTGATTTATTATGTTTGTTGGTAATTCAGTAAACTTGATGAGATCAACTCACAGTGTTGACTTTATGGCAAGGGAAACATAATGGGGTGCGCAGTTTAAGAGAAGTGGATCTTGTGCTGCTTTCGTGAACGGACGTAACGGTGCGAAAACAAGATGTTTCGTGTTGTAATTTATGAACAAAAGGACACATATGAAAAGGACCCTTCTGACCCACGGGATATGCATATTTAATTCATAGATGAAAAGACAAATATTAGGACCCTTAAACCCCACGGGACATGCATTTTTAACCAATGGATGAAAGGATAAATACTAAAAGGGCCCTTTTACCGCACGGGACATGCATATTCAACCCATGGATGAAAGGATAAATACTAAAAGGGCCCTTTTACCGCACGGGACATGCATATTCAACCCATGGATGAAAGGATAAATACCAAAAGGGCCCTTTTACCACACCGGGTATGCATATTTAACCCATGGATGAAAGAATAAATACCAAAAGGGCTCTTTTACCACACGGGACATGCATATTTAACCCATGGATGAAAGGATAAATACTAAAAGGGCCCTTTTACCGCACGGGACATGCATATTCAACCCATGGATGAAAGGATAAATACCAAAAGGGCTCTTTTACCACACCGGGTATGCATATTTAACCCATGGATGAAAGAATAAATACCAAAAGGGCTCTTTTACCACACGGGACATGCATATTTAACCCATGGATGAAAGAATAAATACCAAAAGGGCTCTTTTACCACACGGGACATGCATATTTAACCCATGGATGAAAGGATAAATACCAAAAGGGCCCTTTTACCGCACGGGACATGCATATTCAACCCATGGATGAAAGGATAAATACCAAAAGGGCTCTTTTACCACACCGGGTATGCATATTTAACCCATGGATGAAAGAATAAATACCAAAAGGGCTCTTTTACCACACGGGACATGCATATTTAACCCATGGATGAAAGGATAAATACCAAAAGGACTCTTTTACCACACGGGACATGCATATTTAACCCATGGATGAAAGGATAAATACCAAAAGGACTCTTTTACCACACGGGACATGCATATTTAACCCATGGATGAAAGGATAAATACCAAAAGGGCTCTTTTACCACACGGGACATGCATATTTAACCCATGGATGAAAGGATAAATACCAAAAGGACTCTTTTACCACACCGGGTATGCATATTTAACCCATGGATGAAATTATAAACATGATATTGGCTCTTATTGCACACGGGATATGCATACTAGTATCTAATCTATGGATGAAATTATAAACATGATATTGGCTCTTATTGCACACGGGATATGCATAATTAATCTATGGATGAAATTATAAACATGATATTGGCTCTTATTGCACACGGGATATGCATAATTAATCTATGGATGAAATTATAAACATGATATTGGCTCTTATTGCACACGGGATATGCATAATTAATCTATGGATGAAATTATGAACATGATATTGGCTCTTATTGCACACGGGATATGCATAATTAATCTATGGATGAAATTATAAACATGATATTGGCTCTTATTGCACACGGGATATGCATAATTAATCTATGGATGAAATTATGAACATGATATTGGCTCTTATTGCACACGGGATATGCATAATTAATCTATGGATGAAATTATAAACATGATATTGGCTCTTATTGCACACGGGATATGCATAATTAATCTATGGATGAAATTATAAACATGATATTGGCTCTTATTGCACACGGGATATGCATAATTAATCTATGGATGAAATTATAAACATGATATTGGCTCTTATTGCACACGGGATATGCATACTAGTATTTAATCTATGGATGAAATTATAAACATGATATTGGCTCTTATTGCACACGGGATATGCATACTAGTATTTAATCTATGGATGAAATTATGAACATGATATTGGCTCTTATTGCACACGGGATATGCAAATTTTAATCTATGGATGAAAGGACAAAGATCAGAGCTCTTATTGCACACAGGATATGCATACTAGTATCTTATCTATGGATGAAATTATAAACATGATATTGGCTCTTATTGCACACGGGATATGCATAATTAATCTATGGATGAAATTATAAACATGATATTGGCTCTTATTGCACACGGGATATGCATAATTAATCTATGGATGAAATTATGAACATGATATTGGCTCTTATTGCACACGGGATATGCATAATTAATCTATGGATGAAATTATAAACATGATATTGGCTCTTATTGCACACGGGATATGCATAATTAATCTATGGATGAAATTATAAACATGATATTGGCTCTTATTGCACACGGGATATGCATAATTAATCTATGGATGAAATTATAAACATGATATTGGCTCTTATTGCACACGGGATATGCATAATTAATCTATGGATGAAATTATGAACATGATATTGGCTCTTATTGCACACGGGATATGCATAATTAATCTATGGATGAAATTATAAACATGATATTGGCTCTTATTGCACACGGGATATGCATAATTAATCTATGGATGAAATTATAAACATGATATTGGCTCTTATTGCACACGGGATATGCATAATTAATCTATGGATGAAATTATAAACATGATATTGGCTCTTATTGCACACGGGATATGCATACTAGTATTTAATCTATGGATGAAATTATGAACATGATATTGGCTCTTATTGCACACGGGATATGCATACTAGTATTTAATCTATGGATGAAATTATGAACATGATATTGGCTCTTATTGCACACGGGATATGCAAATTTTAATCTATGGATGAAAGGACAAAGATCAGAGCTCTTATTGCACACAGGATATGCATACTAGTATCTTATCTATGGATGAAATTATAAACATGATATTGGCTCTTATTGCACACGGGATATGCATAATTAATCTATGGATGAAATTATAAACATGATATTGGCTCTTATTGCACACGGGATATGCATAATTAATCTATGGATGAAATTATGAACATGATATTGGCTCTTATTGCACACGGGATATGCATAATTAATCTATGGATGAAATTATAAACATGATATTGGCTCTTATTGCACACGGGATATGCATAATTAATCTATGGATGAAATTATAAACATGATATTGGCTCTTATTGCACACGGGATATGCATAATTAATCTATGGATGAAATTATAAACATGATATTGGCTCTTATTGCACACGGGATATGCATAATTAATCTATGGATGAAATTATGAACATGATATTGGCTCTTATTGCACACGGGATATGCATAATTAATCTATGGATGAAATTATAAACATGATATTGGCTCTTATTGCACACGGGATATGCATAATTAATCTATGGATGAAATTATGAACATGATATTGGCTCTTATTGCACACGGGATATGCATAATTAATCTATGGATGAAATTATAAACATGATATTGGCTCTTATTGCACACGGGATATGCAAATTTTAATCTATGGATGAAAGGACAAAGATCAGAGCTCTTATTGCACACAGGATATGCATTATATGAGTAAAGGTGCAAGTATTATAAGGGCCCCTTTGCACATTTACCATGAATAGAAGGACAAGAATGTTTAGGGCCCTTTTCCCTACGGGATATGCATATTTACTATGAATAAAAAGGACAAAAATACTTTCAGCCCACGCGACATACATATTTTAAGACACGAGGGAAACCGTTTAAAGGCTTCCTAATGTATTCATATGAATGAGAACTCCACTCCGTGTCAGCCATACCATGTGTGGAACCTAACAAGACTAAAGGTATAGGTAAGGTTAATGTGTCACAAAGGAAGATTTTAGAGGTTTTCAGGACGCGTTTATAATTTCTTTGAACAGCAAATTGTCTCGGAAGATGTTCATAACAACAGTACTAATATAGGACAAAAAGCGACATAATCATTCTCAGATGTTCCCTTCACATTACATCATGGGTCGTTTTCACTCATTATACTGTGCCATACCTATGTCAGCAGCTCAAACCTTGCATGTGAAAGAAAGAAAAAGAGCTAAATAGTCACCAATTTGAACTTGTCTTCATTTTCATAAATATCTTTTAGTTTTTTTCTTGTGGGCCAAAAAGGGACCTCGTCCTGCCTCCTTCTTCAGATATTCAGAGTCTGATGTTCCAATAGAAATGGAGTTGACATTAATGAAGCATCCTCTTTTATCCAGTGAATATTTTATCTCCATTGTTGTATGACAAATACTCTGGACACATTCGCTGACAAAGTTTCATTTCGGAAGTGGCCCAATCTCTCTCTCATCACAAACCTCTCAGCAATCATAGAATTTCTCTCGCTCGTGAGTGAAATTTGATTATTACTCACCCGATGAAGGAGTATGTTATGTTATGTTTCTCACAATAAAGAAGTGGACATTCATAAATTCTCTTCCTTGTGTTAAATACCTTTGAAAGACTTGGCTGCATATACGAGGATGATAACACGTCCGACAATAAGAGAAGAATTTCACATGTGTTGAATTGAATTTTAAAAGAAATGTCGATCTATCGGTAGTAAAGGTTCGTTTCACACACTTCAATAGTACCGATATTGCAGCATAAGCTAAATCAGACAACGTTCTACACACATTCACCACCAAACAATGGCCCACTTCGACATCTGAGCGTAGGACATGATAACTTGGTATTCAAAGACGCGATCTTGAAACCTGGAATATATTTGTTAAAAGCATGCAAGTTACTCAAAATCGTAGCTATGTCATATTTCACCTCCTAACGCTGTTCACGTTAGAACAGGTCCCAGGCAGCCTATGCTTGCACATGGATCAGGGGATCAGGCTCGGTTGATGGCGGGTCATAGCAGTGAGGTGACTGACTGACTGACTGAGTATGGTTTTACGCCGCTTTCAGCAATATTTTAGCAATATCACGGCGGGGGACACCAGAAATGGGCTTCACACATTGTACCCATGTCGGGAATCGAACCCGGGTCTTCGGCGTGACGAGCGAACGCTTTAACCACTAGGCTACCCGACCG